TCTATAAGTGCTTCAAGTGGCAGATATACCAACAGATCGTTCGGTGTTAAACAGGATCAAATCATGCATAAAGATAATAAAAACTATCACCAGTAATATCCCTTCTTTTTGTCGCTGTCTGTTAGCTTTTGTATTTATCTTTTCACTGCATTTTGTAAAAGCTCATTAAAAAAACGATTTAGCTTCTTACATCTAAAAGCACTATATTATTTACTCGTTCATGGTATACTACTTGATTTGTATCTCCTTTAAAATCACTCTCAGAACACTTTTTTCTTCTTCTTTCTTTTATGAACAATAGTTAGCTTATGCTGATTAATTGAAGTCTGGTACTCACTATCACATTTGTAAATTAATAACAACTGTCGCTTTTCTACGTCTAAATCCGTACTAGCGCTATATCCCTACCATAAAGAAAATTTAACGCAGGGAAAAACTGCATCTTTTCCAAGCCTATGGTTACAAGCTATAACAACGAAGAAATATCCAAGCGGTGACATGAGTGTATCTTCAGTAGACATTGCTGAAAAATCTGGCTACATACAAAAGAGATCAATCGCTTTTTAAAAGGCATTGGCCATGGTTGACGGGTAGTTAGGCCATCGCTTCCTAAATCAGGTAGTGCGATATGTACACATTTGGATCATACCAGACTTTGATGATCTCTTGCTTTATCATTAGGAGTTGAATTTACATCACCGTCACCATGGTTTTAATGGATGCGGTTGATACGCTGAAGTTGACCTTCCCGGACGTAATTTTCTCTTTCATCATTCAAGCCAAAGTATCCATCCCTTCTGTTTTATATTGTCCCTGTTAATGCATTCATCCATCCATGCATGAAAAAAAAATAAAAATAAAAAAATAAAAAAAATAAAAATTGAGCTGAGCTGGATGGATCGATGGATCGAACGCTCTACCATCTTTAAAATGCTACCAACAAAATCATTTTTTTAAATATACATATTAAAAAAGCTCACTGCTTTTGGCACCGTCGCTACCGGAAAATACCATCACTGAATCCTTATAAATAATGTTACATCGCGCCCTTTTTTTCTCTCCCTTTGGCAGCTTGTACCACAGTAGTAGTAGATAATTCCTCATTTACTCTTTATAATCACCTGGGACTTTATATTAAAAAAAATTCTCTACTATTGAACAATGTGATGTTGACCCGAAATTGACAGCCTTTGATAGTAATGTGTTCATGGGAGATTATTTGCTCTTTTTTTTTTTTTTTCTTGCAAGTTGGACCACAGCAGTAGTAGATAATCCCCCGTTTACTCTTTATAATCACCTGGGACTTTGTATTAAAAAAAATTCTCTACTATTGAACAATGTGAAATTGACAGCTTGTTGCGTATGGTCCCTAATCGATCTCTTTTTCTCTTTCAAAAATCTCAAGTTTAGTTAAAACCATCTTTTCATCATTTGTAGAACTCACAATCCCAATCAGTTATAGAAATCACACTCTCAAACATTTATAAAGTTACACTCCCATTCCTTTATTATTTGCTTTAGTTTTTTTCTTCATCAAAATATCCACCCTATTCTTGGGATAATTAACTTTAGGCATAACTCTTCTCTGCTATTTTCAAGTTGTAAGCAATTTGACACTTCTATTTCCAACAAAAAGACATAGATTTCATCCGTTAACAACAAATACGTTCACAATTCTCTTTTCTCTGATGGATTCCTTACCTACCTATAGTCTTAGTCTGTCTGACTTGTCATTAGCTATGTTACTGCAGTCGGGCCTAGCTTCAATTGTTATTCCAGCTTCCAACACTCCTGTTATTCTGGCCTCTGAGTCAATTATTTCTGTGGTTTTCCCTCACCACAACGTCCGTATGTCTAAGATCTTGGTACGCGATTTGCTTCATCGTGGGTCCCAATACACATATTCTTCAACAACAATCTGATCGTGAAACTATATTCCCCTAAGCTACTTCGTAAATTTGGGGTCGCAATAACCAATGCGTATATGCAACCTACTGGTAACTTTCGTCGTGTCCTGGGTGCCAGTATATAGTCTACTGGGTCTATCAATTTCCGTCCTCTTCTTGAGTCCTAAATGTCCACATGTATTCAAGCATTCGATCAACCAACACAATTGCGAGCTATATTGCGTGATTCCTTGTTCCCTCCAAAGCCTGCGACCACCTTTTACGGACGTGCTAATTCGACCTGGTAGAATACTGGCTATACTCATTTCGCTTGATTCGAATGACTTACAAAAACAAAAAAATCTACTGTCGCCACTTCTTTATCATTCGTTTTCATTGTTGCTTGTATTTTACTTGGAATCTGGAGATCTCGATTGAGACAAGTTTTTGACGATCAACCTTTCACATTCACAACGGTGCTTCCATTCTGCAATCCAATCGTATGACAACTATACTTTCAAACGCTGGCCGTTTAAAAACAGTGTGCTTTCTTTCATAAAAATACTTCTTTCGACTTGTTGTCCCAATTGACTCTTTCACATTGCTCTTGGTCACTCGTAAAACAAAAACAAAAACAAAAAAACAAGACACAAAAAAGCAAATAATCACCCCTCAGTAACAATAAATAAATTTTGAAAGACAGCGCTGTCTTTTGGGACAGCCAAAGTGCACGTAGTGGCAATATAAGATCTGTAATTTCGATGTTCTCTAGACCTGGAAACAAGGATATACAATCAAAAAACAATGTAAAAATTACGCATAAATGTTTATTAAACGATTTATACTTATTTTGACATCTGTCATCACTCATTCGCCTTTGAGCTCGTTTGATCTTAAGCTCATGCCGAAATGCTAAACCAGAAGCTGAAGGTAAGCTGTAAAACACATATACAGGTTTAAACTATGTTGTTTGTACTAAATGTGTATATATTTTAAGCTGTTAATTTATATTGACCTCTTGATGTCTGTTAAGGATATCATGGATATAATAACAAAGTTACACATTTTTTTTTTTTTTTTTTTTTTTTTTTTTTACCTTGACGTCTTTTTTAAACTTTTATGGTTATCTCACTGTAAATGTCTCGGATTTTGGATGGATTTTTGCCAGTATATTGATCATAGCCACCTATGATGCTGTGTATCTTTGCGTAGGTACGATTTTTGACACCATGTATTAGCTAAAGCTTGCTGATAATCACCAATTAAGCTGGGCAGTTGAAAAGTAATAATCCTTAATAGTTTCTCATATAAGTGCTTCAAGTGGCATTTCTAGAACAAACATAATCCAGAGTGGCGAGCTACTTCTGGGTTTATTTACCATAAAAGGTAATAAATCACGTGATACAATGTACTCTTGTAACTGATTTTTCCGTCAACCAGTGTCTAAGGTTCCCCATTCTCTTGAGATGGCGTACAGCGTCTTCGGAAGCAGGTCCGCCCATCGAATCAGAATTGAGGTGCCTTCTTTTTTTTTTTTTAAATTCCGCGCCTTTAAGATCGTACTGACATTTCCAAACTTCGGTTCCAAATATGCGCGTACAATGTTGGAATTTCATCTCTTTTTGAAAGCTAATTTTTTTCGGCTATGTATGGATAAAAAGCAGTGATTTATTCATAAGGCATTACTTAGTCTCCTACACATATAGCCATTGATGTGATGAATTTTATAAAAAAAAAAAAAAAAAAAAAAAAACGAACGTCGATGTTTGGTAATGTCAGGAACGAGGGAGGAACGAGACAGGCAGGACAGGACAGAGAATGAATAGCTTCTTGGAGCAGGTTATTTATTTAAGAATAAAAGGGAGAAAAGAAAAGAGAAGATGATTATGAAATATATCTGATAAAGAAAACTGGGAGAAGTGAAATTTATCAGCTATATTTATAGAGAAAGAAAAACAAGAAATTAAATAAAAGAATAAGCAATGACAAAAGTTAGCCATAGCTTATGTGGATCATGACAAAGGATTTAAAGAGCTGACAGATCAATGATAAATATTGAGTCTGAAAGCTGGTTACTCATAAAGCATATTTGTGGCATAAGATCTAACAGGATCATGACAGGTAATCAATGACAGCGTCAAGATTGGAAAAGAATACCAAGAAACTGCCCATAAACCAATATTGACACCATATATTATCTGGAGCCTGCTGATAGTTACACAATTTAAGCTGGACAGTTGAAAAATAATAATCCTAATAGTTTCTCATATAAGTGCTTTAAGTGGTATTACACAGGATCGAATCATGCATAAAAACAATAAAAACCATCATATAATTATTACCAGGTAATATCCCCTCTTTTCGTCGCTGTCTGTTACCTTTTGTATCTATCTTTTCACAAAATTTTGTAGAAGCTCATTGAAAAAAACGATTTAGCTTTTTACATCTAAAAGCACTGTATTATTTACTCATTCATGGTATACTACTGGATTTGTATCTCCTTTAAAATCACTCTCAGAACACTTTTGTTTTCTTCTTTCTTTTATAAACAATAGTTAGCTTATGCTGATTAATTGAAGTCTGGTACTCACTATCACATTTGTAAATTAATAACAACTGTCGCTTTTCTATATTTAAATCCGTACTAGCGCTATATCCCTACCACAAAGAAAATTTAACGCAGGGAAAAACTGCATCTTTTCCAAGCCTATGGTTACAAGCTATAACAACGAAGAAATATCCAAGCGGTGACATGAGTGTATCTTCAGTAGACATTGCTGAAAAATCTGGCTACATACAAAAGAGATCAATCGCTTTTTAAAAGGCATTGGCCATGGTTGACGGGTAGTTAGGCCATCGCTTCCTAAATCAGGTAGTGCGATATGTACACATTTGGATCATACGAGACTTTGATGATCTCTTGCTTTATCATTAGGAGTTGAATTTACATCACCGTCACCATGGTTTTAATGGATGCGGTTGATACGCTGAAGTTGACCTTCCCGGACGTAATTTTCTCTTTCATCATTCAAGCCAAATTATCCATCCCTTTGTTTTATATCGTCCCTGTTAATGCATTCATCCATCCATGCATGAAAAAAAAATAAAAAAATAAAAAAAATAAAAAAAATAAAAATTGAGCTGAGCTGGATGGATCGATGGATCGAACGCTCTACCATCTTTAAATGCTACCAACAAAATCATTTTTTTAAATATACATATTAAAAAAGCTCACTGCTTTTGGCACCGTCGCTACCGGAAAATATCATCACTGAATCCTTATAAATAATGTTACATCGCGCCCTTTTTTTCTCTCCCTTTGGCAGCTTGTACCACAGTAGTAGTAGATAATCCCCCATTTACTCTTTATAATCACCTGGGACTTTATATTAAAAAAATTCTCTACTATTGAACAATGTGATGTTGACCCGAAATTGACAGCCTTTGATAGTAATGTGTTCATGGGAGATTATTTGCTCTTTTTTTTTTTTTTTTCTTGCAAGTTGGACCACAGCAGTAGTAGATAATCCCCCGTTTACTCTTTATAATCACCTGGGACTTTGTATTAAAAAAATTCTCTACTATTGAACAATGTGAAATTGACAGCTTGTTGCGTATGGTCCCTAATCGATCTCTTTTTCTCTTTCAAAAATCTCAAGTTTAGTTAAAACCATCTTTTCATCATTTGTAGAACTCACAATCCCAATCAGTTATAGAAATCACACTCTCAAACATTTATAAAGTTACACTCCCATTCCTTTATTATTTGCTTTAGTTTTTTTCTTCATCAAAATATCCACCCTATTCTTGGGATAATTAACTTTAGGCATAACTCTTCTCTGCTATTTTCAAGTTGTAAGCAATTTGACACTTCTATTTCCAACAAAAAGACATAGATTTCATCCGTTAACAACAAATACGTTCACAATTCTCTTTTCTCTGATGGATTCCTTACCTACCTATAGTCTTAGTCTGTCTGACTTGTCATTAGCTACGTTACTGCAGTCGGGCCTAGCTTCAATTGTTATTCCAGCTTCCAACACTCCTGTTATTCTGGCCTCTGAGTCAATTATTTCTGTGGTTTTCCCTCACCACAACGTCCGTATGTCTAAGATCTTGGTACGCGATTTGCTTCATCGTGGGTCCCAATACACATATTCTTCAACAACAATCTGATCGTGAAACTATATTCCCCTAAGCTACTTCGTAAATTTGGGGTCGCAATAACCAATGCGTATATGCAACCTACTGGTAACTTTCGTCGTGTCCTGGGTGCCAGTATATAGTCTACTGGGTCTATCAATTTCCGTCCTCTTCTTGAGTCCTAAATGTCCACATGTATTCAAGCATTCGATCAACCAACACAATTGGGAGCTATATTGCGTGATTCCTTGTTCCCTCCAAAGCCTGCGACCACCTTTTACGGACGTGCTAATTCGACCTGGTAGAATACTGGCTATACTCATTTCGCTTGATTCGAATGACTTACAAAAACAAAAAAATCTACTGTCGCCACTTCTTTATCATTCGTTTTCATTGTTGCTTGTATTTTACTTGGAATCTGGAGATCTCGATTGAGACAAGTTTTTGACGATCAACCTTTCACATTCACAACGGTGCTTCCATTCTGCAATCCAATCGTATGACAACTATACTTTCAAACGCTGGCCGTTTAAAATCAGTGTGCTTTCTTTCATAAAAAATACTTCTTTCGACTTGTTGTCCCAATTGTGCTCTTGGTCACTCGTAAAACAAAAAAAAACAAAACACAAAAAAGCAAATAATCACCCCTCAGTAACAATAAATAAATTTTGAAAGACAGCGCTGTCTTTTGGGACAGCCAAAGTGCACGTAGTGGCAACATAAGATCTGTAATTTCGATGTTCTCTAGACCTGGGAACAAGGATACACAATCAAAAAACAATGTAAAAATTACGCATAAATGTTCATTAAACGATTTATACTTATTTTGACATCTGTCATCACTCATTCGCCTTTGAGCTCGTTTGATCTTAAGCTCATGCCGAAATGCTAAACCAGAAGCTGAAGGTAAGCTGTAAAACACATATACTGGTTTAAACTATGTTGTTTGTACTAAATGTGTATATATTTTAAGCTGTTAATTTATATTGACCTCTTGATGTCTGTTAAGGATATCATGGATATAATAACAAAGTTATTTTTTTTTTTTTTTTTTTTTTTTTTTTACCTTTAACGTCTTTTTTTAACCTTTTACGTCTTTTTTAACCTTTTATGCTTATTTCACTGTAAATGTCTCGTATTTTGGATGGATTTTTGCCAGTATATTGATCATGCCCACCTATGATGCTGTGTATCTTTGCGTAGGTACGATTTTTGACACCATGTATTAGCTAAAGCTTGCTGATAATCACACAATATAAGCTGGGTAGTTGAAAATTAATAATCCTTAATAGTTTCTCTCATATAAGTGCTTCAAGTGGCATTTCTAGAACAAACATAATCCAGAGTGGCGAGCTACTTCTGGGTTTATTTACCATAAAAGGTAATATAATCACGTGCCCCAATTTACTCTTGTAACTGTTTTTTCCGTCAACCACTGTCTGAGGCTCCCCATTCTCCTGAGATACGCGGCCAGTGACTTCGGAAGCTGGTCGGCAATCGAATCAGATTGGAGGAGCCGAGGAGGGACACCCTTTTTTTCACCTCATCCCCATAACTAAAAAAAAAATTCATCATATTGAACATCCGCCCCTGCTAATTTAGATATCTAATTTGAGCATTTACCGCACAGTTGTCGAGTAGTTACTCGAATAGTTACGAAATTCTGAGCTGAAAAAATTAAAAATTATTTTTCTTTACTGGGCGAAGTGACTGGATTTTGATTCCTTTTCCCTTTTTCTTATAAACAAAATTACAATGGCACCTAATATTTCTAAGGCACATAAAAAACCAAAGCAAGAATTGTACATGTACATTACTGATGAATACATCAAAAAACAAGAAGAAGAAGAACTCAAACAAAAGGAGAAAGTAACTCATCAATTATATGGAAAAAACTGTTATCTCGAAGGACCCTTGCCCGT